TAACTAGCTAATTAACTAAATAAAAGTGGGTTATGTGCATGGACCAATGAATGATGAGGGTGTATTACAAACCAAAGACTATGATCATTCTAATTATCTGCACCTGTGGTCCAATGGGAACAAAGCATAAAGCAGCCGGAGCTCCAGATCCCTCCCCTGCATTCTGGGGGACTTCCCTTTTCCCACCTCAGAAGAAGACTGAAGGTCTATTCTCTGGAAACAATAAAACACAAGGTCTTCGATCTGGAAGACCACAGGCCCACCATACTGAAAAGTGAAAGTTTAAAGCCTGAATGTTGAGGCTCTCGGTCTTTTTCTGAACTTGGCTCCAAGAATACTAACATTAGTGTCTGGTGTGTAACCTCAAAGCTTATCTGGGGAATCTGACCAGTCCCAGAGAAAAGACCTAAAGCTGCTGACATCAGGGGCTCCCCAAGGAAATGGCCCAGTCTAATCACCCAAGGGATAAGCCTCACCTGGTGCACACAGGCCTTTCAGTGATCCACCCTTATAAAATTCGGACAGACAGGGATCACTAGCCATCGGGCAAAGAACCTGTGCCAGTTATCCTCAGCCTCAGATCCACTGTTCTTTGTTGTACTGGAGCTAGAATGCATAAACATTTTCCGTTCGCCAGCCCCTTTTTAAAATTTAGCACAGGAGCCACTGGCTCAAGGTGTCAGGAATTCTCGTAGAAAAGCTGTAGCTGCACCCCAGGCCCAGGTTCTCCCCCATCCGGCTGCAGCTTCTGGAGCTTCTGCAGCTGTTCAGACCTTATTTTAGACAAATGTCTCCCTCATCTGGTGAGTGGCTCTATGCACCAGTTACGGCCCTCACCCTCTGGCAAGTTTTTTCACTCCTGGCCGGTTGTACTTTCTGTGGAAACCTTACCATCCTTGAAGAGGCATGACTCTCAGGCTTGGTGGGGGTGGGCCCAACTAAGTCCTTAGTTCCCTGAGTGTCCACATGCACTCTGCCTAGGAGTAGCTGCTGGTTTCCACCTGCTACTTTTGGACACCTGAGAGTCCTCTTTCACCTCTTTGAGAAGTAAGCAGCCTTCTACTAGTTAACAATATTTTATGTTAAATTTTCTCAACTCAAAGTGTGTGGTTTCTGTCTCCTGACTGGACCCTGGAAACAGCCCACAGGATGGAGAAAGTGTGACCTGAAGACTGCTGAGATGAGTGTCACCAGGCCTTCTGTGTGGCAAGCCCTGATTCTTGGGCTAAATTTTTTTTTTTTTTAATTTATTTTTGGCTGTGTTGGGTCTTTGTTGCTGTGCGCGGGCTTTCTCTAGTTGCGGCAAGCGGGGGCTACTCTTCATTGCAGTGTGGGGGCTTCTCATTGTGGTGGCTTCTCTTGTTGCAGAGCACCAGCTCTAGGTGCGTGGGCTCAGTAGTTGTAGAACACAGGCTTAGCTGCTCCGAGGCATGTGGGATCTTCCCAGACCAGGGCTCAAACCCATGTCCCCTGCATTGGCAGGCATATTCTTAACCACTGCACCACCAGGGAAGTCTTAAATTTTTTTTAAAAAGGAAAGGAAGTGCCTTCCTGCCACTATCACCTTGCAGTGTCCCCCCAGTGGTCCTTACTTAAAAATTCTAACACTGTCACTTGGTAAAGGGGAAATGTACAGAAAAAGAAATCTGTCATGGCTCAGCTCTGCATAACATTTATATGCTAGTGTAAATGCTGGAAATTGATCTAAACCAAATTACATTATATTGGGAGGACAGAGCGGTGGAAAACACAAACGTGTGTCATGGGGTCGGTGTGTATGTGTATATGAGAGAAATCATCTTTCATAATGGAATGCCAACAGATAATGCCCACAAATGAAAAATCAACAAGTGGAAATATATGCATATTTAGAGACATGGAAGCATATATCCAAAAAGACACATATAAAAATGTTCATAGGAGACTTCCCTGGTGGTGCAGTGGGTAAGACTGTGCTCCCAATGCAGGGGGCCTGGGTTTGATCCCTGGTCAGGGAACTAGATCCCACATGCACGTCGCAACTAAGAGTTTGCATGCCACAACGAAGGAGCCCACCTGCCACAACTAAGACCCAGTGCAACCAAATAAATAAATATTAAAAAAAAAAAGAATGTTCATAGAAGCTTTATTTATAATAGTAAAACAGGGCTTCCCTGGTGGCCCAGTGGATAAGAATCTGCCTGCCAAGGCAGGCGACACAGGTTCGATCCCTGGTCCACCAAGATCCCACATGCCGTGGAGCAACTAAGCCCATGTGCCACAACTACTGAGCCTGCACTCTAGAGCCCGCAAGCCACAACTACTGAGCCCTCGTGCCACAACTACTGAAGCCCGCGTGCCTAGAGCCCATGCTCCAAGAAGAGAAGCCACCACAGTGAGAAAGCCGCGCATCGCAATGAATAGTAGCCCCTGCTCGCCCCAACTACAGAAAGCCCACGTGCAGCAATGAAGACCCAACACAGCCAAAAATAAATAAATAAAATTTAAAAAATAATAATAAATAAATATAATAGTAAAACAAAAACAGAAGATTGGAAACAACCCAAATGTTCATAGGAACATTCATGGTATATAACAATGGACTGCTACACAGAATAAAAGAATGAACTACTGATACATAGAATGACATGGTTGAATCTCAAAGACTATACCGAGCAAAAGAAGCCAGACCCAGAAGAGTGTACACTGTAATTACGTTTATATAAAGTTTAAGAACAGGCAAGATAATGTATAGAGGTGACAGAACAGTGAATACCTTGTTTGGGGAGGGGGATTATAGCGATTAGGAAAGGGCATGAGGGAAACTTATGGGGATGATGGAAATATTCTGTATCTTGATTTGGTGGTGGTTACAAAGGAGTATATGTATGTAATATAAAAGGTCACTGAGATGCACTTATGATTTGTGTCCTTTACTATATGCAAGTAAATAATTAAAGAGGCAAAACCCAAAAGAATCAGCTAAAAGAATTAATCTAAGAAGAAGGAAATAGGGTGAGTGGCAAATTCTTTGTAATAAGCCCTGCAGAACTTCTCTACTCTAAAATATGTATGAATTTGTACCTTTGATAAAATAAAATCTCAATGAAAGAAAAAAACTATGGGCTCTGGAGTTAGCTTGACCTGGATTCAAACCACTTGCTATCTGGACAATGGTGGCAAGTTACGCTGCCTCTCTGGCCCTTAGTTCCTCCATTTTAAAGTAAGTCTAATAGAACCACATGAAAAATAACTGAGTTTGTACCTAAAAGTACTGGTCAAAGTGCTTTACAGAGAATAAGTACTCAGTAAATGCTAATTTTTTCCCCACCAACCATTTTCCTTCAGTACAGAGACGACAGTTGAGCCCGCATTACTCCTATTTACATTGTTTTCATCTCCCCAACTCCAGACACCCCACAGCTCTCCAAACTCATTACTCATTTATTCCTTCTTCATAGGTCATCTGTGATGTTGTGATTTATAATAAGAAATATGTGTCTGGGGCTTCCCTGGTGGCGCAGTGGTTGAGAGTCCGCCTGCCGATGCAGGGGACACGGGTTCGTGCCCCGGTCTGGGAAGATCCCACATGCCGCAGAGCGGCTGGGCCCGTAAGCCATGGCCGCTGAGCCTGCGCGTCCGGAGCCTGTGCTCTGCAACGGGAGAGGCCACAACAGTGAGAGGCCCACGTACCACAAAAAAAAAAAAAAAAAGAAAGAAATATGTGTCTGGTCTTCATCCACTCATGGCACAGAGCTCCTAAAATGCTTGGAATTTCCAAACTGATGAGATTGATAAAGGTATCTTTTTTTGTTGACGATGTGATTTTAGGAAAGCCCCTAAGTAACTTCTAGGTGGAACCAGCCCCTGTGAGTAGAGGGTGGGAACTTTCAATCCCACCCAGTCCCCACCTCCGGGGAGGGGAGAGGAGCTGGCCATTGAATTGATTGCCACATAATCATGCCTCTGTAATGAAGCCTCCATAAAACCCCAAAAGGACGGGAGTGGCAGAGCTTCCGGGTTGGTGAAGGCGTGGAGGTTCTGGGAGACTGGTGCACCCTAGAGGGCATGGGAGCTCCGTGCCCCTTTCCATATGACTTGCCCTATGCGCCTCTTTCATCTGGCTGTTCCTGAGTCATATGTCCTTTTATAATAAACCCGTAATCTAGTAAGTACAATGTTTCTCTGAGTTCTGCTGAGCCGCTCCAGCAAATTAACTGAACCCAAGGAGGGGGCCGTTGGAACCTCTGATCTATATAGCTGGTTGGTCAGAAGCACAGGTGACAACCTGGAGTGGCAACTGGTGGCTGAAGTGGGGGAAGGGGGAGCAGTGGTGGTGGCCTGGTGGTTAGGGCCGAGCCCTCATCTTTTGGATCTGACCTATCTCCAGGTAGACAGTGGCATCATTGAGCTGAACTGCAGGACACCCAGCTGGTGTCTGAGAATTGTTTGGTGGTGTAGGAGAAAACACACATTGTAATTGGTGTAAGACTTCTGTTATCCAACTCACTTTCTCTCTGAAAAGAGGACTGGGATCCCCTCTTTCACGTAACAATTATCCATATAATTGTCATTTCCTCTGTGGACTTGTTTCCTCACCAGTAAGACATGGGGTTTGAACAAGATAATCTCTAAGGTTCTTTCAGCACTAACACTCTTGGTTTCTTTTTCTCTGAAACTTCTATTTCTGTAAAGCCCTTCCCTCATTTGGCTCCAGAGATGCTTGGTGAGGCACATGATGTTGTCAAACATGAACAGATGGCATCTGCTCACAGGGAACAGGTGGGCGGTAGGGGCTGACTTCTCTCCTCTCTCCAAATGCCAGGAGCCACGTGGCACTGAGTTCATGCCTCTCCCCTAAGACTGGCCTTTGCTGGGCCACGTGCATCTCACACGGCACTGAAAGTGGTAACCCACTGGGATCAGGTGAGTTCTGGGGCACCCCTTCTTTCCTGAGGCGAGTAAGACTTTGCACACAAGCCAGTAAACACACCCCTCTCCTGGCTGGCACAGGCACTTACCTGCCCAAAGTGATGAGCCAAAATTATGTCCACAACATTGGTTGTCAAGCCCGAGAGCTAGAAAGATAAAAACTTGGTGTCAAGGGAGTTAGCATGGGTAAAAATGTATCAAGCTGTCCACTTCACTAGTGCACTTTCTTGTATATATGTTATCCTTCAACAAATAAACAACACAACTCAGTGTCACACATTTTCATGAGATGGTGGTCCCAGGAAACCCGAGAACAAGAAACAAGTCAGAAAAAAACGAAAAGTTTTCCTTCCAAGGTAATAATATAGCCTGCTTTGAAATAGGTGGCTAGAAGAAATGCTGCCATTGCTTCTTCGAAAACGTGGGACCGAGAACTCACAGCTATTAGCTGCTTCATTCTTGCCTGTATTTCTGCAGTTACACTGGGTTTACAGTTAATAAGGAACGACTTACAACTACTCCCAAGCCATCCAAAAGAAAAAACGATTTTTTTCTTTCTTTTAGTTTTGCTATCTTCATTTCAAGTAGTGGGAGGAAATTGCTATGTTTACAGAATGTTCTTGCATTTTGAACATTTTTCTTCTAATTTTTCCCATTTCAAAACTATGCACATCACAGTCTAATAAATGCATCAATCTGTGTAAATCTGCAGACTGTTAGTCTATTTTCAGAAAAATTTCCATCTCAAATTATGTTGCTGATTCCCTTAAGCCTTCCTTCTTTGTTGCTTTTATGCTCAATTCCTACTGCTGACTTGGATCAGAGGTGAAGTACTGAGTTGGGGGTGGAGATGGACAAGAGGAAATCAGGGGGACAGATGTGGATATGGGTGGAGCAGGGTCATGTAGTCCCAGAAAGATTAAGGAAGAAAGAAGCCCAGAAATCTTCACATGGGTTATCAGTGATCCACAGGTTATACATTAAAGATAATAAGAATTAATAACCTATTTCATTTCATGTTTAATACTCATAAGGTCATTCTAAAGCTTTATAAGAATTTTTACTAGGTTGTATCACGTTATGAAGAGTGTTCAGGTAAGTTTTAATGTACCCACATCCTAGATAGGAATTAAAACAAATTTTAAATAAGTCAGGTTGTAAGAAAGAATTTCCATAGCATCTGGCAATAGCATTGTTAATATATTTCATCCAAAGCTAGGAAATACACCATTTCTCCAGAAGTTAAATGTGGGGAGGAATGGATAAACTTTTTAGAATCTGGTCTGCTGGCAGGTGGAATAGTTTAATATTTTAAAGTAACTATGAAAGCAATACATGTTTATCACAGAAAATTAGGAAAACATAGAATACATAAAATAAGAATCATCTGTAATGCTACCAGCCAAAGATGTAACTACCGGTAGCAAATTATTTTCCTTATAAATGCATATACGTATTTAACAAAATTTTATTATCTGTTTTTTTAAACATGAAAATTTTCACATTTCCTTAAATAACCAAAAGAAAACCCCCATAAGTTTTTGGTTGCATAGTATTCCATTCGTGACTGAGACTCACAGACAATGATGAATCAAAGAAGCAAGATACACAAGAATACATATTCTATTATTCCAAGGATACGAAGCTTAAGAATATATAAAACCAATCTATGGTGGTAGAAGTCAGAATAACAGTTACTTCTGGGAAAGGGAGGAAGTATTAAGCACAGAGCTGGAAATATTCTGTATATTGACTAAGTGGTGATTACATGTGTAAACATTCATCAAGCTGTATACTTAAAACTTCTTGCCCTTGACTGTATGAATGAAAAAATAAAAACCAGATAAGCCATTTTGAGAAGGGACCAAGAGATGAGCCAATGGACACTGGTCTTACTTTGGAAGCTGCCCAGTCAATCCAGCCTTTGGCACAAGGGTCAACGTTAATGAGCACGAGACCTTCCACGAGCTCTGGGTGACTGAGCTGAAACAAGACAAAGACAACAGTCAAGAGCCCCACTCTCAGCTTCTTCTAAAAATACTGCAGCATGGTTAGTCACCTCTTACAAGGCCTCAATGCCTCAGATTTGAAAGTAAGAAAGGTCAGAGAGGTGCTAGGGAGGATATTTAGAAAAGTAGCTCTATAAATCTAGCTTAGCATCTGGAAAACCAGCTTCCTAAACTACCATCACATGATCTCGCCTGGCAAAGATCTACGGGGGAGACGGTTTTTATTTCCACAGGAGGAGGACGGCACCTGGTATCTCTACAGTTGTTTAGCTCATGGTGGGTCTCCCCTGCTGGGGCAGTGCCCTTGGGACTACAGGGCATAAGGGGCTACTGAGGCTTAGACTGGCTATTTCATACTCATACACCTTGTCCCCAGTAGCAACTTCTTAAGTTTTTTTCTAAAACCACATGAATAGGTGATACCACCCTCCAGAAGGCTGCCCTTCACCCAGGAGGCATTTGGGAAAGAGTTCCTTAAATAAAAATCAATAAGAACATTTCTATGTAAACTAAAAACTTTCCAGCTTACTTTTCCCCCTCCGATTATGCTCACTATAGAAAATTTGATAAACAGAGAAATTATAAAAAGCAGAAAATAAAATCTCATATTATCTAACCACACAACATCAATCTGTTAGTATTTTCATGTTTTCTTTCAGTTCTTTCCTATGCCTATGACAAACTTTATGTGCATCTGTATTCTAACCTTTTTGTTAAGGTTGTGGTGTATGTGAATTGCATATCATTACAAGCTCTTCTTACAAAATTTTAATGGTTGTAAGAAATTCCACCATAAGTATTCTCTGAGAATTATTTTTATTGATGATATCTTGCCCTCATTTGTTATTCTTCAGGTGCTATAAGTACAAAGCAAGGCCTTATACAAACCTGTATCTGTTGACAGAATTTATAGAAAAACTGACCTAAGATCCCACAACAGTTCCTTGTCATTTAACACAGCAGTAAGAGCTGTGACCTAGGCAGTGCCTCAAGGGTGTTGAGACTAATCCTCCATGTACTTACTGCAAATCTGCTGAGGATGTAAGCTCCAGCTCCAACTCCAACCCCAATGATGCTTTTCAGACTGTGAATGGGACACACCAACATTGATAGGGTTAACTCATTTGGAGGTAGGATGGCATAATGAAAAGAATGCACTTGGGTTCAAATCTGGCTCTGATGCTTACTGGATGCAGAATTTGGTCAGGTTTCTTTAACTTCCTGAGCCTGGGTTCCCTACCTATAAAACAAGAATATGACCACCTACTTCTAAATTGATTTTACGGATTAAATGAAATATGACTGAAACCTGGGAGTCATCCTTGACAGCTCACTCTCCTAATACCTCCACATCCAACACATCAGCAAATCTACCTTCAAAGTATTTCCATCTGCCTGCTCCTACTCCATTCCATCCCCTGGGCAGTACCCAGTACCAAGCTATCATTATCACTAACTTGCCTGATTGTTGTAACCGTTTAACTGGTCCCTTGCTTTTTCTCTTTTACCCCTCTCTAAACCATTCTCTCCACAGCTGGAGTAATTTCTTTTTAAAAATGTAAATTCCTTTACAGATGTGCAATTTACATATCTAGAGTGGTCATTTTAAAAGACTAAATTGGATAGCACTTAAAACCCTTCGGTGTTTTTTGTCTTTTGAATAAAATCCCAAATTCTTACCTGATCTGTGAGGCCTGTGCAATCTGGTCCTTGTCTATTTCTCAGATTTCACCCTGTGCCTTTCTCCCACTTGCTCACTCGGCTCAGGCCTTTTGGACATATTCCTTCTGTCTGGAATCCTCTTGTCCTGGCTCTCTGTTTAGGTAACTCCTTTTTATCCTCCAGGTCTCAATCTAAAGGACTCCTTCTTAGAGAGGCAATCCTCAATTAGCCTTATCTGTGTACACCCTGCCCTTATCCTCTATCACAACATCCCCACTGACTTCTTCTATGGCACGTAAGCTGTGACTATTTGTTTGCTTCCTTGTTGTCAATTATCTCCCACACCAAAATGTAAGCTCCACGCTCCACGAGGGTAGTGACGAGACTGTTTTGCTCATCGTCATATCCCCCAGATCAGACACATAGTAGAAAGTGCGAAAAAACAAAAAACAAAAACCATGCGAAAGAACTGCAGAATGAACTTACTTTAAGTGGGTGAGAACAGGAGGCAGCATTTCGGCCAGCTCATCCATTGTCGGATACTGGTACCTGAAATCCGGAAGGATACCTCCTTACATACATTAGAAGGTACTCACAGTTCCCAGTCACCAGAACAGCTAGAAAAGTACAGGGTTCTTAGATAAAAGCATTCCCTTTACCAAAGGCTCAAAGGAGGTGATGTAGTACCCGGAAATGATTGTGGCATGTTGTGTGACTCTCTACAACTGCCACACTAAGAGGAAAGTAAAAAACAAACAAAAAAACTCCTACGTGTTTCTATAACCTGAAGAGCAATCTCTGGGACGAGAGGAAGCCATTTGAAAAGAACAGGTAATACGGTTCTCTCCAGGGTGTTTCCAAACCCCTAATAACCACTTCATTTGGGGTTCAGGCTCAGTAAACTTCCAGCAGTAAGAGTCAACCTACTGCTCCTGGTCTGCTGCTTAGGTTTAGGCAGCTAAGTGCAAAAGTAAACAAAGCTTTACTGGGCCCAGGCACAGTCGCAAATCCTGGGCTGCTCATCATAGAGGCTGACTTGTTTTACTTAGGCCTAGAATAACCCGGTTACTTTATTATTTGCTTTTGAATTTGGTTCATGATCTAAGCCACTGGATCCTAAGATGGTCAGGCAAGCCCAAAACTGACTCAGACCAAGAATCCAAGAGAAGTAGGAAGTGTCCATAGAAATTACAGCATCAAAGATGGAAGGGACCTTCAGACAACCCCCTACATATGGGGCAGGATCTGCTCTACGTTTGACAGGGAAGTCAGCCTGCCTCTGCTTGAAACACTTCAAGCACTGGAGTGCTCTTGAGCCATTTGTACGTAAAACAGAAAAAAGGAACTGGATCTAAATCTTGTTGGATATAAACTGGTCACCGGCCAATTTGTGTTTAAGAGACAGAATAGCTTGGACATAGTCAATAACATAGATTCTGGAGCCAGAATGCCTGGGTTAAAATCCCAGCTCTATTACTTATTTGTTATGTAAGCTTGGCCAAGGTACTTAATATCTCCGGGCCTTAATATCCTCCCCTGTACAATGGGAATAACAGTAAACCTATCCCGTAGGGTTGTAAGGATTAAGTGAGTTAATAAATGTAAAGTATGCAATGCAGCGTCAAGAATACTGTTTGAGTACTAGGTAAATGTTAGCTATGAGTCTAACACTGCAATGGTCCATTTCACAGCAGTCACTGGCAAAGGCAGCTCTGGAGATGAGTAAAGGGAGAGGGGAAGAATTAGCATTCCACAGCTTGTGCTTTCATTCCTCCTCCAAGTTCTCCTCAATAGTTATGCTGTCCAGGGAAGAGTCAGGGACACTGTGGCTCCACCATGCAAAGCAGGCTTAGGATGAGGCTGAGCGCTCCATGTCCATGTCCAGTTAAATGCACCTCTAGCGGACAGGGCAGCTCCTCCAAATAAATGGTTATACTGATATTCAAATTCCTGTCACCAGACTGAAGGTAAGGGTGGGGAGGTGCTCCCAGGAAGCTCAGAGGGATCTGAGTTTGGGCCTGGGTAGTTTGGAGTTTCAGGGAGGGACACAAAAATGACAGATTTAAAATAGATGAGGAAGGAGACAGTTAAAAGACAGTGAGAAGTGGGTGTTCCAGACACTAATGCCTTGTGATTGGCTCCCACTCATGGGGGCCATTCCTGGATATGGGAAAACATGCAGTTTTCGTGACTAGACTGTACGTGACAGTCCTCTCAGAACAAGGAGAGAAAATTTGCAGATGGTTGGTTGACAAGTATAACCTGTAGGCTGTGCTAAAACCAGCTTGGAGGGAAGCACACGGCTACTGCTCCCGCTGGAGCTTAGCCGTTTGCTCTCTGAGTGCGTGTCTTCCAGAAGGTCTTGCTTGTGGTCTTACCCAGCTGGGAAAGAGGGTGCACCTTCCTGCTGGCCTGGGGCATCAACATGACAGACGGCAAAGTGCTGGGTGATCTCCTGCATATCCTCAAAGTTAAAGAATGCATTGAAACAGGATTTATCTGCAAGAGCAAAACACTCATAAGTCACAAGCTCTCCGTTTCTCCCCAATTTTCCTCTACTCAATCAATTCCACATCATCGTCCTCTTTCACCCCCTTTTAATCACTGTTTCACTAAAGTGAAGTGTCTGAACAATCTGTCTGATTCAAGCTGCCCTAAAGGCTGACTACCAGACATCTTAACAACTTGAAAAGGATAACTAATCCTCAATTCTACAGAATGTCTACAAAGAGGAAACCAATCCTGGTGTTTCACAAGGCAATCTTACACCCATAATACTGTCATTTTTCATGCATCTTATTCCCCTACCTAACAGAGAGATACTGACCGTATCCCAAGAACCCGGCTAAAGTGAGTATCTTAGGCTGCTTACATTCACCATGTGGAAGACTGTGTCTCTTGACAAAATTGCTGGGGTGCAGGGAGGGGTTTCTGCTTCAATTTCTACCCTGTTGGTGGAACTGCTTAAATTCCTCCTCATGCTAAAGAGGCAACAAAAGCTCCAGCACTAGACTGTAACTTCAAATGCAGGCCACCTCTGAAAGCCAGAGGAGCGTGCAAGAAAACACATGTATGTAGACTCTATGCCTGGGGCTAGGGCCAGAATCTTATATTACCGTCTAGAGAAGTCCATTTAAAGTCACTCATATGCTAACACATATATATGGAATCTAAAAAAAAAAAAAAAAATTGTTACGAAGAATCTAGGGTCAGGACGGGAATAAAGACGCAGACCTACTAGAGAATGGACTTGAGGACATGGGGAGGGGGAAGGGTAAGCTGGAACAACGTGAGAGAGTGGCATGGACATATATACACTACCAAATGTAAAATCGATGGCTAGTGGGAAGCAGCCTCATAGCACAGGGAGATCAGCTCGGTGCTTTGTGACCACCTAGAGGGGTGGGATAGAGGGAGATGCAAGAGGGAAGAGATATGGGGATATATGTATACATCTAGCTGATTCACTTTGTTATAAAGCAGAAACTAACACACCATTGTAAAGCAATTATACGCCAATAAAGATGTTAAAAATTAATTAATTAAAGTCACGCATGATAGGCTATAATAAGAATACTTTTACTAATTTATTGAAGAGCTCACAACAAAGTTAAGTTCAAGCTCTGAATTTTCTAACCCGAAAATTTGGTTTATGAAAAAAACCAAAGCACAGATTGTTTTTTAAAAAAACCTGATTTTAGTTCTACTTTCTTAACCAGTTCATCATATAATCTTCAGTCCTTTAGCAGATATGACACAAAGTGAGATATAATCCCAGTATCCCCCAAAACGCATTCAACTGCATACTTCCCAGGAACTTTAATTCTGCCATTAACATGTAGCAATGAGGAGGGAAGCTTAACGTATAGAGGAGAAAACCTATGGTTTATCAGAATACTGGGGTTTCTTGTGTGTTTTAAAAAAATATACAAAGATTATGTATTATAATAAAATAGGGAAGGTATAAAATCAAATACATACGATTGAGGCCAATGTCATGGTATGTCAGAATAACTGGTCTGTTTCCCTTCGGTAGGCCTCTTATAGTGACGTGGACCATACCGTGAGTTGTTTCTATATCATGTTCCTGTAACAAGAGAACATAAAGGTCTCAGCAAGGGCAGAATAGACTTCCCAGGTTACTGAAGTTTCACAATACCCAGTTCACTGCTGCTTCCCACTAGCTGGGGCAGGACACATCATAGCTGAATTATAAGCCAACTAGACGGATGCTATATCATACAGAATATTCCTACTTTTTAATTCCTTTCTGATAAACAAACAAACTAAGGAAAAATATACCTTATCTACAAAGCTCACTTTCTTAAGTGGGGGAAGCCAGGGATCTGCTGAGAATATATTCGCAACTGGCTATGGCAAGGAGATCAGCAAGTTGAGTGAGGAGCCAGGTAAAACCTGGGGAAAGGAAAGTTAAGGAAGCAGAAGATGTGAAGAAGCTGCTGGGTAAAAAGGCAGAGGCTTCAGAGCCTCTAAATGCATGTCCAACAACTGATCATTTCAACAGCACCTATGGGTGTATCTGCCTAAAATCTCTCCCCTTCCCTGGGAGCTGCCCTTCTGTGTCATCCATACAGTACAGGAGTGGCTCTTGGCCGCCTTGTCTGTAGACTATAACCTTATGGCCATGGCTCACTGGAGTCACGTGGGCATTTGGTCCATGCTAGGTCAGCATCCTTCCCTGAGAATCTGTAATTGGGACTAAGAGATTCCATCCTCAGCTTGGTTCTTCTCTTGAAAAGAGAAGTAAACTTGCGAGCTTACAGTAGGCATTTCCACCACTTTAACTCCTGGTTCCGGCTGTGTGTGCTGTTAAGTTCTGAGACATCCCTGGATTGCCTCTGGTTTAAGCTATTTGGGTGGGTTTGTTCCCTGCATCCTAAAGGGTCCTAACCAAGGCAATGAGTAAAATTTAAGATGCAGCCAGAGCAGAGCTCAGGAACTGAATAAAGCTAGAACAAGATGAAATCAGAGCTACTGGGACCAGCACTAAGAGTGGTTGGGTAGAAAAGAAAGAGACTCTAGAAAAAGTAACTGAGATTTATTCTAGTCTTCTTCAACATCTATATTTCTTAAAAATGAATTATCACACCTAGCCTAGTGAATTTTTGCTGACAAAGTCCGTACCTATCTCAGGAAGTGTTACAGTAGCTGAGACAAAATAACTCTGTCAATAAGAATCGCAACAAAGGCAAAGCACTTCCAACTTAATTTCCTACCTAATAGTGAACCTCATCAGAGCCTTGGTTCCTTCTCTCATGTGGGGCACAGAACAATCTTACACTAATTGAACATCAGTATATCTCAAATCATGGGCTGCAAGCTAGAGCAGGTATCTCTCTAGTAAATCCAACCACAAGTGACTCAATATTTCTGCTGTCCTCTATTACTGCTTGCTACATCCTCTTCAAAGGCTTGAAAAGGGGGAATAAGAAATGAAGGAGAGAATCAGGCACTGTGAACTGGCTATGAAATAAAGTACAGGGTTTGGATGGGAGGAATATAAAGACATAAATTCCTGTTGCTGTATGAACATTTCTCACGTGGTAATGTCACTTATTGAGGACCCTCCTCCACCACCATCATCAGGCTCATTCCCTAAACAACTACGTATCTAGTGAAGCCCTACTACCAGACCCTGGACTGAGCTCTGGGCACAAAACAGTGAACAAGAGAGATGTGATCCCTGCTCTCACGGAGATTACGTTCTACACAGGGAGGCCGACAATAAACACACAAACAAACAAACCCATAACAATAGCCTGTGATCAGAGCTGTGAAAGAAAGAAATAGGATGCTGTGATGGAAAATTGAAGAGGAAGACATTAACTCTGTTAGCAGTCAGGAAAGTACAAATTAAATTCAATGAGATGCAATTTCATACATACCAGAATGGCAAAAATTTTTAAGTCAGATAATGCCAAGTGTTGGCCAAGATGTAGAGAAATAAGAACTTTGATACACTATTGGTAGGCATGTAACCTGGAACGACTACTCTGGAGAAAAATTTGGTAATTTCTAGTAAAGTTAAGAGATGTCTACCCTACAGCAATTTTACTTTTAGGGATAATCTAAAGCGATTCTCAAACACACTCACACACAAAAGATATGTGCAGATATATATACATATACACTGAGGCCTTATTTATAATGTCAAAAAATTGAAAGTAGTCTAATTAGCCATCAGTAAGGAAACTGACAAATTATGACATTCATATAATGAGATGCAGACAAAAATGAATGAACTAGAACTATAAGCATTAATACACAGAGAAAATCTTGAAAAAACAACGCTGAGTACAAATGCAGAAGGATCTGTATATATGACTTACGTATGTAGATATTTTTAAAAAGCAACACTATACAGACTGTATATGTTTACATATATATATATATATATATATATATATATATAAAATATTTATTTATTTAGTTGCGCCGGCTCTTAGTTGTGGCATGCAAACTCTTAGTTGCGGCATGCACGTGGGATCTAGTTCCCTGACCAGGGATCGAACCCAGGCCCCTGCATTGGGAGCTCGGAATCTTAAACACCGTACCAGCAGGGAAGTCCCTACATACATATATTTAAAGTATAAAAACTTGGAGAAGGAATGTACACTAAAGTTAGGACTTGATTCCTTCTGGGAGGTGATATATTCCGAAAATGAACTTAAGGAGTCTTCGATCTCTCTCATGTTACACTTCTTGAGAGAAAGAAAGAGTAAAGAGGGAGACAGGGAGAAACCAGCCCCGGCCAGATGAGTGACAATACAGGAGAACCCAAATTGAAGAGAATGCGCAACCATCTGTCATCTTGACAGTCAAGTTGCTGGAGCCTTCCTGTGTCATATCTAAGCCTTCAGGAGAGTCTTGCATAAATATCCTGGCTTGGTCTCAGCTGTGATACTGAGAACTGAGGAAAAAAAACAACTTACACTTTGGCCCTAGGGTTAGCAGGACCTCCTAAGGCCTGGTAATTGATGGGGATAGTGTGTGCAGGAAAAGGGAGGGTGCCAAGTGGAGGGAGGGGGATAGTGAGCTGTCAGGGAAGTTCAGAAGGATGATGAAAAGGGAGATAAAACAGATGGGGCGAAAGAGAACACATTTAAAAAGCAGATGAGGCGGGCTTCCCTGGTGGCGCAGTGGTTGAGAATCTCCCTGCTAATGCAGGGGACACGGGTTCAAGCGCTGGTCTGGGAAGATCCCACATGCTGCGGAGCAACTAGGCCCGTGAGCCACAACTACTGAGCCTGCATGTCTGGAGCCTGTGCTCCTCAACAAGACAGGCTGTGACAGTGAGAGGCCCGCGCACCGCGATGAAGAGCAGACCCCGCTCACCGCAACTAGAGAAAGCCCACGCACAGAAACGAAGACCCAACACAGCCAATAAATAAATAAATAAATAATAAAAATTAAGGAATTCCTTAAAAAAAAAAGCAGACGAGGCAACAGGGCAAAGTCACTACTTTGTCATCATTTCATAATCTGGATGAAATTCAGAGTTAAAATTGGCTTACAAAATTTCAACTTTTTAGGGAGATCTTAGCCCCTACCTCCCCATAATACGCCCTCAAATTGTGTAGCGACCAAAGTATCAAAAGGCCAAGAGTCCTGGGCCCTATCTGTCAATCCTGTTGCCCTATTTGGAGCAACCCTTGGTTGTCAGTATCTCTTATGGTTTCTCTTCATTTTCAAAGTAATACAAAAAGAAAGGAGACACTCACATCCATGTGGATTTGTAAATATATCCTTTGTGACCTTATATGTGAATGGCTTGAACAAGTCTCTACCTGGAGATGAGTGTGCAGAGACCTTGGCTATGGAGCTGATTCAGTGGTCAAGGGGAGATGCTGCTGCCACCCTTCTGCTTTAGCCAACTATCAGCTGGTGCAAAGGCTGTTCCTCCAGTTACCTCACCCTTCACCCCAGCATTCTAGAGGGTAAGACTGCACAGTGAACCTGTCCAATAGGCTCTGGTCATAGATCCTTCCCAGCACTCTCTGATTACTTACCACCTCCAAGACTATATGCACTTTTAAAACATGATCCTTTATTCTCCAGGATTATAAAACCACCTGAAATCGTATCGGTCCACAACATACTTCTCCATCTTAGACTGCCTCTCCCTCTTAATCAAAGATGTAGTTGAGAGATTAGGATATTACCATTAATTGATAATAATCAGTGTTCACCTTTTTTTCTGAGTCCTTTTCCTTCTGCTAAATGTGCAATCACCAGAGTTATCACACAATCTGACTTCTCATACCTCTCTGAACGTAGTTAAATTTTGATCACATCATGTCTATTAGTGCTTCTTCCTCTCCCTGGCCAGTCTGAAACAGTTTAGGTAAACTTGTAGGACAACATACTCTTGGAAATGTCAACATTCTTTATTAGTATGAGTTTTATTCTGTTTCTAATAAGCAGGCTACTGTATGAGCCTTGGGCATAGTTTCTGTTATTTATTACATAGGAAATTTTAATATAATGCCCCCACTGTCTTACCCCTGTGTGGTGGTATAAAGTTCATTTGCACGACTTCATTTAATCCCATAGTAAAAGAATCTGCCTCCACAATTACTCAGCCTTTCTGCCTATGAGTAAATCATATTTTCCTTCTTAAAGTTCTATAATACATTCTCCCTGACTCTAGCCTCAGCTCTCTCTCCTCTTACCTCTTAGATCTTTCAGCCTGGTTAAATCAATATTCTTTGAGACATCGACTTTTACTTTTCCACTACCCACACTCTCAGACTTCCTACAAATCATGCTCTTCATTTGAAAGCTTCTTTTGCAATATGTCAACATAAAATCTATCTTTTCCTATCTGTCTTTTCAAAGCCAACTCCAATACCTTCTTCACACAGCCTTAGCTACCAATGAGGAGAAAAAGAGTGAATGACTGTTTAACCCACATGCAACAGCTCAGAACACCTTCAGAACATGGACTCTCTAGTCCAGGTAGGAAGGGGTCCAGGTTTGGCCAATTCAGACACCCCACTCTCTGGCCACAGTAAGAAGTCCAGGGATATGCATGTGACCCACACACACGTGTCCCATACTAAGCCA